TTTATCAAGTGATTTGTGATGAAAAGCTTCTCATGTGTCCTCTCAAGGTTGTCGATGAGGGTGTGTGGGGGGGAAGCCTATATTGTTTTCTCTAGTCCTTAGTTAATGGCAAATGTCCGACACAATGACGGGAGTCTCCTTCATCACCTCTATATTAGAATGGCTGCAGTTCTCAGGATGGGGATGGTGAGCTGCTGTAGTTGGCTCATTTTTAGTGTGTGTAATTTCTGGCAAAATAGCTTGGTAAAACTTCACTTTGAAATGAATGGGACTAGTGCAGTTTGAAGGTCGTACTGACCCTAATGCTTCCACCCTATCATGTCTTAATATGTTTTCCTCTCTGTGTTACATACGCAGATTGGAATGAGCATCGGAAATTCCACTGTACCAATTGATTGCTTTTCCACTGCAATTAATGACTGAATCATAGAATTGTTCCGGTGTATTAGCTGCAAATAGCTAAACTCGAGGTTCTTTTTAGTAACTGATACAGGTTGTGATGGTACATTCAAATTAAATGTCTTTGGGAGTGTGAGTAATGCGTCTTGGAGAGGAGTTTTTTCTGAGTCTTTTTTTTTTCTGACCACATGGCAACAGCATCCTAAAAGTTCATATTGACAAGCTAGAAGGGAACCAGTAACAAAGGAGATTAATTCCGACTGGGGCAGCCAAGCATAAACCCAGGCCACTTAAATATTGATGGAATCTCATTGTTGCTGTAGTGTGGCAGCTTCACTGCCACACTACAGCACTCCACATGGGTGAATCAGTGTGAAACTTTTGTATCACAAGTATTTTGTGTATGAATTTATCCCAAAGTTACATATAGATTCAGGATTTGCCCCAGAAAACTTGCTAAGCCTGGTGGTTGGGGCTTTTAATACAAAAACACTATGTTTTTGTATTAAAAGATGTTAAGTTGACAGGAAATGTAAAAATATTTCTGGGTAATTTTATGTTACAGAAATGCATCGTAAGTGAAATGCTATTTAAACCCACATATATAGAGTTTTAAAAATGACAAATAAAAAAAAAAAACAATTAAAATTAACATAAATTATTAATCCAGAATTTGTTTACTGAGAATATCAATGGTCCTAACTTTGATTTAATGGTTTCAGAATACATTATACAAGATTTTAAGGATTTTGTAAAAGTTCAATCTTCATAGTTAGTTTTGTTACCACAATCTGATGTTGAGTTAATCTTTGAGTTTGAGCTCTGTTTTAACATTTACTGTAAGGACATTTTGAACTTAATAGCACCTTTAAAACAGAACACTGTTCAGCGTACAAGCAGTCCTTGGATTAATAAGGAAATTGTGACCTTGTGACTATGCCGGAAAACTGAACGTTTATGGAAACGTACTGATCTGGTGGCCCACAGGTACCACCTTAAAGACTTAATCAGCTCCTTAAATGAGATGCTCAAGAATGCAAGAGCCAGTTATTTTGCTAATCTCATCAAATCAAAAGGGTGAAATCCAAAAATTTTATTTGACACAATTAACACAATGTGTATGCTGACAATATTCAAAAATACTGTTTGTTCCAATCTTTTGAATTTCATAAATTGACTGAACTCAGTAATTGCCTGTCCATCCATCCATTTTCTTCTGCTTCATCCGGGGTCTGGTCGTGGGGGCAGCAGCTTCAAAAGGGAGGCCCAGACTTCTCTCTCCCCAGCCACTTCTTCCAGCTCCTCTGGGGGAACCCCTAGGCACTCCCAGGCCAGCTGAGAAACATAGTCCCTCCAGCGTGTACTGGGTCTTCCCCGGGGCCTCCTCCCGGTGGGATGTGCCCGGAACACCTCACCAGGGAGGCATCCTGACCAGATGCCCGAGCCACCTCAACTGGCTCCTCTCAACGTGAAGGAGCAGCGGCTGTACTCTGAGTCCCTCCTGGGTGACCGAGCTTCTCACCCTATCTCTAAGGGAGAGTCCAGCCACCCTGCGGAGAAAACCCATTTCGGCCGCTTGTATCCATGATCTCGTTCTTTTGGTCATGACCCAAAGACATTTGGGTCATGACCATTTGGGTCATGACCCATTTGGGTCATGACCAAACGTGGGAACGTAGATCGACCAGTAAATCGAGAGCTTCACTTTTTGACTCGGTTCTCTCTTCACCACTACGGACCGGTATCATGGGTCCTAAGTTATGGAATGACTTGCCTTTGCAGGTTAGAGAAGCCCCTTCACTGTCCACTTTTAAAGAACATCTTAAAACCCATCTATTTTACTTGACTTTCAACTCCAGAGGGATCTAGTTTTAAATTGTATGTTTGTTTTTAAACTGTAAGAATTTGGTTTTTTTTATTGTTATGTTGTGTTTTAATGTACAGCAATTTGTATCAACTGTGGTTGTTTTAAAGTGCTTTGTAAATAAAGTTGGTGTGGTACAGCGCCCGCTTCACGGCAGACGCCGCACCAATCCGCCTGTTGATCTCCCTCTCCCTTCTTCCCTCATTCGTGAACAAGATCCCCAGATACTTAAACTCCTCCACTTGAGGCAGGACACCGCCCTGACCCGGAGAAGGCACTCTACCCTTTTCCGGCTCAAGACAATGGCCTCGGATTTGGAGGCACTGAGCCTCATCCTGGCCGCTTCACACTCGGCTGTGAACCGCTCCAGTAAGAGTTGCAGATCACAACCTGATGAAGCCAACAGGACCACATCATCCGCAAAAAGCAGAGATGTGACCCTAAGGCCACCAAAACGGATCCCCTCAACACCTCGGCTGCACCTAGAAATTCTGTCCATGAAAGTAATTGACAAAATCGGTGACAAAGGGGAGTCCTGGCGGAGTCCAACTCTCACCGGAAACGAGCCCGACTTACTGCTGGCAATGCGGACCAGACTCTGACATGGGTCATACAGGGACCTGACAGCCCGTATCAAAGGGCCTGGTACCCCATACTCCCAGAGAACTCCCCACAGGGCCCGAGGGACACAGTCGAACACCTTCTCTAAGTCCACAAAACACATGTAGACCGGTTGGGCAAATTGCCATGAACCCTCCAGGACCCCGCTGAGGGTGTAGAGCTGGTCCAGTGTTCCACAACCAGGACAAAAACCACACTGCTCTTCCTGAATCTGAGGTTTGACTATCTGACGGATCCTCCTCTCCAGAACCCCTGAGTAGACCTTGCCAGGGAGGCTTAAGAGTGTGACCCCCCTGTAATTGGAGCACACCCTCCAGTCCCCCTTTTTGAACAGGGGGACCACCACCCGGTCTGCCAATCCAGGGGAACTGCTCCTGATGTCCATGTGATATTGCAGAGTTGCGTCAGCCAACACAATCCTGCAACATCCAGAGCTTTAAGGAACTCCGGGCGGATCTCATCAACCCCCGGGGCCCTGCTACCGAGGAGCTTTTTAACCACCTCGGCAACCTCGTCCTCAGAGATTGGAGAGTTCGACCCAGAGTCCCCAGACTCAGCTTCCTCAATGGATGGCATGTCGGTGGGTTTGAGGAGGTCTTCGAAGTATTTCGCCCACCGGCCCACAAAGTCCTGAGTCAAGGTCAGCAGCAGACCATCCCCACTATAAACAGTGTTGGTGCTGTACTGCTTCCCCCTCCTGAGATGCCGGATGGTGGACCACAATCGCCTCGAAGCCATGCGGAAGTCTTTCTCCATGGCCTCTCCAAACTCCTCCCACGCCCGAGTTTTTGCCTCAGCAACCACCCGAACTGCATACCGCTTCCTCTGCCGGTACCCATCAGCTGCTTCTAGAGTCCCACAGGCCAAAAAGGCCCGATAGGACTCCTTCTTCCTGACGGCATCTCTCACTGAAGGTGTCCACTAATGGGTTCGAGGATTGCCGCCGCGAAAGGCACTGACAACCTTTCGGCCGCAGCTCCGATAAGCCGCCTCGACAATGGAGGCATGGAAAATGGTCCAGTCAGACTCAATGTCCCCCATGTCCCCCGGGACGTGTTCAAAGTTCTGCCGGAGATGGGAGTTAAAGCTCCGTGATCCGTGATTCAGCTGTTTGATTCAAGTGTGTTGGACCAGGGAGACATCTAAGAGTTGCAGGACACCGGCCCTCGAGGACCAGGATTGCCCACCCCTGATCTAGCCCGCCTAAACTGGTGACTATTGGAGACAGTTCAGTTGTTAATATATCAACGCGTCTGAAATCCGCACTTGGCAGACAGTGGACAACAGACTGGTGAAGCAGAGTGCGAGGAACATCAAACGGAAATGTGGTCCCCGAAAACAGAAGAGGGAGAAGCGAAAGGGTGCATTGGCCCAGCCGTATCCACCAATTTCGGACCACTGAAGCGGACATTTCTAGACAATGCACGCTTACTGGATAAAGTGGATTTGTTACATCTGAGACTATTTCTACAGAGATGAAGTGTGCTGTTCTTTGTCTAACAGAAACCTGGCTAAACAAAAACATGCTGGACTCAGCCTTCCAGATCATCAATATTCAGTTATTCTGAGCGGACCGCCACCAACGTTCGGGGAAAACACTATATCAGGAGAACACTATGTCAGGGGTTGTGTTAA